GAAGCCAAAAGACCTTCCGGTTGCAAGGCCAGCGAGCTGGTATACTATTCAGCCACTGGCACCCGATTCAATGGCCAGTGTGCATGAATTCTAACTTCTACCAATTCATGATGCATTTAGCGCTACCACCAACCAACCAATGTCATCAGTGGGAAATCCATCCTCACACATTTTAGATTAGTTCTTCATCATCGGCTGGCTGTACACTCATGTACAGATTTGTTTTATATCAAAGTTTTACCAGTCAGTTGGTCATTTTAGTGAGGTGGAGGGTGACATGAAGAGGTGAAAAGTCATCAAAGCATTAATTAACTAGTAGACGTTAGCAACAAGGTATCCATGTTTTTAAGGTAGGGTGAAAATTAAATACAGAATAATAATAATAATCTGCTTTAGCCCCAAAACCAGTACTTCTAATACAGAATGGAATTCTCAGCATTTGTCATAATATCTTGCACCTAACTCACTCAAAATATAAATAAAATTAAAAATTAAAACAAAAGTAACCAGAGGAATTTGTTCATGCTTACGATATAAAGTCAAAAATATTCTAAGCACGAATTGAGATTATTAAATATTAATAATAATAAGAATAATAACAGTGAGTTTGTTTCAAACAATATCGTCGATTCAGTGTGGGAGCTTTAGCATGTTATAGAGTATTGAATCTAATGTTCTGTTGATGTAGTATAGTGAGGGGAAATACAGGATTAACAGTGGTAACACAGCTTAAACGATGTTCACACTTATGAAAAATAAATAAATAAAAACAAAAAATTGATAGGATTATAAATATAAGAAATACAAATACCAATCAAGTCTGGTACTGTAAGGGTGGAAGAAATGGTTTATTTAGTAGTGTGAAGAAGGTTAGTTAGTTCATGCCCGACACCATTTTCATCACATAAAGTACGTGCTAAATATGGTATAGTGGAATTTTTATACTTAGACGTACGTGCGTAAATTCTTCTAAAAAGACTTCTTGTTCTAACTGAGGAGACACAAAGTTGGAGCTGCGGGTAAAGTGGATACCCACAGTTTGACAAAATTCCTTTAGCAAATTTGTTGCATGACGTCAAGTGCCTATCAGTAATGAAAATGTCAGCAATATGGCCCAAAGTGATACCACCAGTCCCACTGACAATCTTCAGAGTTCTACGAAGTATGACGTAGTCTTTTTAAGCACTCCAGGAAAGAATAAGAGTGAACAGTAAAGAAGAATAGGTACGATGCATGAGCTGACAAACTGTAAGAGGAAGGGTTGGTTGAGTAATACCAGAGTGCCTTAACTTCCTAATGTAAAAAGTCAGACGAAATATTCTTTTAGAAATCACTGAGACATGGGAAGACCAGGATAGATCAGAAGAAAGAATTAGTCCAAGATAATTGACTTCAGATTTGATTTCTATATCAGTATCATCAATTTTGCAAGGGTCATAGGAGCCAACAGCTTCATTTAACTTTCGTTTACATCGGAAACTGAAATTAACAGTCTGACATTAAGAAGGATTTAGTTTTAGGCAATGAGACGAAAATTATTCTCTAACTCCTGAAAGAAAGCTGTACATCTTAGTACAGTCTAGCTGAGAGTCAATAGACACAGTAATAGTTAGATCATCGGCAAACTTAACAAAGTTCATTTCATCATCAGAGTGAGGCAAGTCATGCAAGAAGAAAGAAAACAGAAAAGGAGAAAGGAGAGAACCCTGATGAGGGACATAAGCTTCATTAAGTAATGAAGTGGAAAACTTCCCCTTACATACTGAGTACTGCTTTTTTCTTGAGAAATAAGAATGCAGCCAGTTGACAACCCAACAGTCAGTTTGAGTCGAAAGCAGATATGTAATCTAGGAAGGTGTAGCGAACAAATTTAGCCCTTTTGTCTAAACTAGAGACAATGTTATGATGCAAGTCTGCAGCTCCATCTAAAGTACTTCTACAAGGTTTGTGGGCGAATTGTTCAGGATCGTTAAACGCCTCAAGTGCAGGTTCAAGATTAGGTAAGAACAACTTTTCCATAGTTTTTAGAAAAGGAGATTTTCCAGCAATAAGTTTAAGTTTAAAACATGTGCCAGTAGATGACTTAGATATGGGTACAATTTTAATGTCTTTCCAAACGGCTGGCACAATATTTCTGGAAAAAATTCATTAAATATGTCAATGAGAGGATAACATAACAATTCAAGATCATCGGAAATCCTGGAAGTATTGGACAGCTGTTTCGTCAGCCTAGTTTGGGACTCCACTTCACCAGTATGCAGCCACACCACGGGGTTCGAGTCCACCACCTTCTGGTTACAAGGCTACCGAGCTCGTAGACCACTAAGCCACTGGGACACTTTCCAATGGACTATTCATGGATTCTAACTTCTGCCAATTCATGACATAGGGTGACCGCCAGCCAATGTCATTCATGGCAAGTATTTGTCCTCACAGCCAACCTGCTGCCCCCTACTGGTCAAGACTCCTGACTAGAAACCCAGGTAACTACCTACCTACCTGAATAGGGCAAGTCGCTAGTGAGCATCTCATCGATATTCAAGTGTTGGTTTGTAAGGATATTCAGGTAGTTAGTTAACTGGGGTTCTCAGTTTGTAAATTCTTGTATTCTACCCATCCTCCTTTACTGCTCCCCATTAGTCTTTCCTGGACTACTTAAGAAAGACTTTGCTTCGCTGAGAAGGGCACTAAAAGCCGTTAGTAGGGCAGGTGGGATATCGTTAAACCAACTGGTGAACACTATTGTAGATAGACATATTATGTCATGTAAGAATCTAGCGAATACAATATTGTCGGACCCCGAGTATCCTCTCTATACGCATCTATCTCCTTGCATTTCATCTGGTAGAACTAGAAGCAGCTATAGGCGGCTATATGCTAGGACTACTAAATACAAAAACTCCACAATACCATATCTGGCACAGCTGCTATGTGATGAGAAATCCGTTAGGTATGACACGATAAACTTACTGCGGCACTCTAACAAATAGTCTCATTAGGTTTTGTTTTCCTTTCCTCGTTACTATTACACTGTTGTTCTCATCTTCTATCACACATCAACTTTATATTTCAAATCCTGTGGTGCATTGTTTGAAATGTAATACTCTACGCTGTTTTTTCTTAGTTTTTAATTTTTATTTATTTTATTTATTTATAACTTATTTATTTTATTTTTATTTATTTATCTTTGATTTTTAAAAATCTTATATAATTTATGAGGTAATTAGATGCAATATACTGTAATGCACGCTGAAAATTCCATACCTATACCACAAATACCGTTTGGAATAAAGCTGTTATTATTATTATTAGTGAGAAGTCATAACCAGTAGGGAGCAGCAGGTTGGCTGTGAGGACAAATACTTGCCATGAATGACATTGGCTGGCGGTCACCCTATGTCATGAATTGGCAGAAGTCAGAATCCATGAATAGTCCATTGGAAAGTGTCCCAGTGGCTTAGTGGTCTACGAGCTCGGTAGCCTTGTAACCAGAAGGTGGTGGACTCGAACCCCGTGGTGTGGCTGCATACTGGTGAAGTGGAGTCCCAAACTAGGCTGACGAAACAGCTGTCCAGTACTTCCAGGATTTCCAATGATTCTCTAACCAATGTCAGCTCATGGTGAAATCCTTTAACCAATCAAATGAAATCCTCACAAACCAACGTCTGAATCCAAGATCAGGTAATTCGTAGGGGTTAGTAACAGGTTATTGCATCACCAAGAGACCCGTAAATCAATGATTTTTATTTATCTATTTTTTATTTTTGATTACAGATTGATTCCACACTGTATTTTTGGTACAAGTATAGAATTTTCAGCGTGGATATCGTTAGCTCAAAATTCGCAGGCCGACCATAGATATCAGGTGTGCGTCGGCGAGGGCTCGAACCCGGGACCACGTGCATGGTCGGCGAGAGTCCTAACCACTGTGCCACCGACTGGGAGGAATAGGAGAACTCAGTCGAATTACATAAAATACAAACAGGTTAATAGAATTAGCTAGAATTGTAAAAATGACAATGTCAAAAGATAATTACAAGAGGAGGGGAGAAATTGTTTTTAAAAATTCAATACATATTATGTAGTTGGTTATGGTAACGAAAAGAGGCTGTATACATTTCTTTTGAACACACAGATCTGGCTTGTTCAGCTGTATTCCGATTACCTCTACTGTATGGAAAAGTCTTATTTGTACATCATGCGGCAAAAGATTGGGAGATATACGATAAATAACTTCAAAAACTTTGTTAGAGTCGATTGGATGTCCAGTATCAACGAGATGAGCTTGCTAGTAGTGAGCTGCGTGTAGCAGCTTTATTAGGACTTCTGTCACACCAAGATGGCAGGTGTTCAGAAATTCGACGATGAAACTGCCTAATCGTAGGCGCAATGCGACTAGCTCCGCACGAGCAGTTAAAATGGTGAATACACATGGAAGAAGCAAAACAGGGCCGTTTTGTCTTGATTTCTTGAACTAACTATTGATTGGCTAGTGAATATGTACAGCCTAACTAAACTGCGTTGATAGTCCTTTTACAAATTTCTTGATTACTTGAATTAAGCTTTCTTGAATTCCACAACTTATTTTCTCACCCCTCCTTCAAAACGTAGATATCCTTTTTTATTATAGCTTGATTTTGGTACAAGTATGGAATTGTCAGCATGTGATATCGGTAGCCCAAATTTTGCAGACCGACCATTGATATCAGGTGTGTATTGGCAGGGGATGGAACCCTGGACCATTTGCATGGTCGGCGAGAGTCCTAACCGCTGTGTTACCCCCACATATCGGCTGGTTTATATATGTTTCTCTGGGAACGTAAAGTAATATAGTTGCCGTGTCTTTCGACAGCAAGTTTATGTTCTTGTATTCTGAGTCGAAAGAAATTTAATTTAATTCTGTAGGTGGTACTCATCCTGAATTGTCTACAAAAATATCATGGTATAAAATATAAACAAGACTTGTTAAGTAATTTGTTTATTTTCTCTTTTTTAGATGCATGGTGAATAAATACTCCAAATTCAAATAATTTCATCTTAATATGAATACCATCAAATTTTGTTCTCATATTTCTATGTGGTAATTAGCAAACTACTTGAAAATATTTCAGTAGTTAAGTATTTATTTTTAAAAAACACCTGGATACAAGGATTTCATAAAATGCTACGAAGTTTAATCCTATACCTATATATTGTATTAATTATTATAAATAATTTAACTAATACGGCAAAAGATCCATTCTTAGAAGTTCTTCTCCCCGAACGTATGTATAAACATTACAAATTGAATGAAAAAACTGGATATCTTGAGAAGTTGATTGCTCCAATAAGTCATCTTGTCGAAATGATATCAAGTGATGCTGAAGACGGTACCACTACCACCACTATCTTAGATGCATTACCACAAAGTATAGACCAGCTGATAAGTCCTGTTGGACATAGCAAACTATTTAGTGGTATCCCAGTTGAAAGTATGCCACCGAAACATTATATGCATTATTTATGGTTACATGAAACTAGTCGACCAATTGTTCTACCCTGTTGGACACCATATAAACAAGAAGTAATCAATTGGTATGAAACAAATAGTGATATGGAGATAACACGTACATGGTTTATTGGTCAAGGACCATCAGAATTTTGGAGGTATGTAAAGCAATATTTCATTCTCTTGATCATTTTATTTTTGTGAGTTTCTTTTGCAAGGATTTGATCCGTTTCAGGTTAGAGAACCAATGAAATCAATGCTAAGAGTACTGGAAAGATATTTTGTCCCATTTTAGGACTCATCTGCAGTACATCGCCAGGGTCTGAAACCGGAGACTTTCGATCAAAAATCAAGCTCATGGACCATATAGCCAATGGGACCCGATTCAATGGCTAGCCGACGAATTCTACCTTTCAATACCAGTGTCATCTGGAGAGAGTGTTTGTCCCCAAAACTTCTCATTAGACTCCCAGTAAACTTCGTCCTGTATTCTTAGTTGAATAAAGGACTTGAAGCCTGAAGTCTTTAAGTTGCCGTAGTGGTGCTGACTTTGCTCCTTCAAGGGGTACTGTTGTAACAACAGAAGACAAGGGCCAGGCAATAGATCGTTTTATTATGAAAATCAACACGTATTTATACATATTTCACATACATTATTATAGCTTATGCAAGTAGACGAGCTCAGTCATCTGATTGGTTGTTTATGAGAAGTTAGGCAGACAAACGCAGGCTTCTGATTGGTTGTTTCGGGAGTCCTCGACAAATAGAGTTCTCTATCTGCGAATCATATTTTGCCACGTTAACTTTGCTGTGATTGGTTGTTGAATCAGCCTTGCTCATATTTTCTCACGGCCTGCTCTCACCACACTGTTACTAGCCCCACGCCTAACCTTCGTTTATTTACTAATTAGTAAAAACTGCCTGAGACTTAGGAAGACGTTAGCGGGGACTCGAATCTTCCACCATTTGAGTAGTTGACGAGCATGCTAGCACTGAGCTGCTGATTTACACGCAATAATATACATAGGAATAACTGTAAAAGCCTTTTCTGCGACTTCCTCCTCAAAAGCAGCTGTACAGTCACATTTATGTCCTTAAGCTCACATAATTACAATTACTTTAAGTATTTAATTCAGTACTACGGTGTACCTCAAGTCTTTCTTTGTCAACCTCATTCAACAGCTGACTGGCTATATGACAATGCCTGTCACGTGTCATGTGATCCACAACGGAAAACTCAGCGAGACGTTCGAAGTGAATACAGGAGTAAGACAAGGCTGGCTGGCTGGCTGGCTGGATGTCTATTATCACCAATGATATTCCTAATTGTGGGGCACTGGATTATGCGTCAGACTCAGGATGGGGAGTGAGAAGATAGAAATACGGTGGACCACTGATAAAAAGACTCTGGAAGATGTGGATTTCGCAAGTGGATGATTTATGTCTCACAAATTCAAAGACTTGCAAACGAAAACTAACAAACTGGCTGAAGACGCAGTCGGAGAAGACAGGACTGCAGGTGAACACAGAGAAGACAGAGGCGATGAAGATAACCAAACAACAACAACAACAACAGCAACAACAACAACCAGCACCAACCAGAAGTACGCACCCACACAGCGGGGTTCGAACCCAAGACCTTCTAGTTATAAGTGAGCTCGTAGACCATTAAGCCACTGAGACCCGATCCAATGGCCAGTCAGTGCATGAATTCTAACATCCTCCAATTCATGACGTAGCGCAACCACTTTGCGTTATCGTTTTCTCCAACGTAATACTGCCTCGCCTTCAACCTGCTGCACCCTACTGGTTACGGCTTCCCACTAGAACCTCAGGTTAACTGCTTGAATAGGGCAGTTGCTTTTATCGCATAGTCTCGGATGTTTTTATGCATATGGTGAGGAATTCTGCAGTAGAAATCAAAAATCGACAAATTACTGTTGTACAAAAAGTTATGCCAACGACAATTTTATAATCTATCAGTGTGACTCTGAAAAGAATTTCATAGTTGCCATTCTTCAGTTAAATTCCCGAAGGAAATAATATTATTATTATTTCCTTGCGTTCCAAGTGGTGGAACATAGGGCTTCAACAACATATCGCAACATATCACCACTTTGTTCTAGTTTCTGTCATCTTCTTCAGCTAGGTGCACGATTGGCCACAGTCTCTCATCTACTCCTCGTCACACGATCTCCTCCCTGTCATCCTCACACACCGACGAATCACCCGTTGCTTCCTATTGGGATTCCACTCGAGCGATGGCCTGGCTGGCGCGAAATGTCATTCATAAGGCCTCTCCAACGTATGCCCGATCCATCTCCATTTTCTCCTATATATCTGTTGAGTGGTCTGGTCGGCTTTTGGTTGATTCGTCGTCAGCCAGAGTTTCTTGTTCCTAATTCTTTCTGGCTATTTGATTTTAAACAAAGCAAGAACTACAGTTTTAGCAGAATAAAATGATACCATCATTGTTTATTTCGTTGCCTTCTCGTCAGCTGCTTACATAGCAAAGACATTATTAAATATATCTACAACAACAATTTTAACATACTTGCCCACACAGAGTTCAGTTTAAACAAAAATCAATCGATCAATATACGCATACACTACAAAATATATACATATATAAATATGCAATATTAACCACTATTCCGAACAATAATAATCATCAAACACAATGGAAACTTTTAGCATTTCACATTCGGATGAAAGAGAGGTGAAATTATCCAGTTACCAGGCAGGGCAAAGAAAGACTGATAACCGCTTCTTTCTGGACGCATAAATCAGGTTTCAGGCGCTTGATGGAAATGGCTTCAGCAAACTTAAGGAGAATTGAGCTATTTTGCTTATTGATAATTTTGAACGACTTTTCGACGTCCACCTCATGACCCATGTCGAGAAGATGCCTTGCATCATGCTAAAAGTTTCCATTGTGTTTGATGATTATTATTGTTCGGAATAGTGGTTAATATTGCATATTTATATATGTATATATTTTGTAGTGTATGCGTATATTGATCGATTGATTTTTGTTTAAACTGAACTCTGTGTGGGCAAGTATGTTAAAATTGTTGTTGTAGATATATTTAATAATGTCTTTGCCATGTAAGCAGCTGACGAGAAGGCAACGAAATAAACAATGATGGTATCATTTTATTCTGCTAAAACTGTAGTTTTTGCTTTGTTCAAATTCATTAAGGGGAATAAATGTATGAAATATTTGATTTTAAGTATGGAGCGAGGGCAGCTGTTGGTGAAAGGCTGTAATCTGTTGGAAATGCACTTCGTGACTCACACGCAGTGCAAGTATCTGACCTGTATAGAAGTACTGAATGACTGACTGACTGACTAACTTCAAATTTGTGTTGAACAGAATCCGAATTTCATTGTTTATATAGGCTGAGTGATAGCAGAAGATCTTCAAACTAGTTTCAGATTGATGAAGGCGTATTTCGCCTTTCCAATTCTCACTGGCTTTGACATTTTCGCCCGCTCCGACTGTCTACAGTTGATACGATACTTCCTAGATAGATAGATAGAGATGAAGGAATTAGAAAATGAATCAAATGAATTTCATCTTTTTGGATCAAAAAATTGAAAAGAAGAGATGATGGGAGTCTGAAAAAAAAACAAAAAACAACGAAACAAACAAGAAAATATTATGAAATATCCAACTGACAATCTCATGTGTGGTTGGATACCTGTAAGTCGAAAAAGAGCTCTCATCATTTATTTCACTTGCCCAGAGAGAATCAGAGAAATTTTCCAGGAATCAACTGTTTTTGGATGAAGAAGAAGGACTCTTATTTCTGAAAAAAATATACCTTGGCTCAAAATGTGTACCCAGCGTGTTTCATGGAGAAGAACATGAAATAAAAGCCAGCGGAAATACTTTATATGAATCTGGACTTAACGGGTGAACTAGCTGCAGATATCTTAAAGATGGAACAGAATCTCTAGTTCTCTAAAGAAGACCTTCTCTACTGCAAAATTAGAAATGGTAGTTTCTAATAACATATGACCACTCGAATGTCTGTCTGTCTGGATTCAACATAGAACTTGGCACCGAAGTGCAGCAGTTCGAGTTGCCACGTTCCAAATAGCACACAGAGGTAGACAAGAAGATGAGTGAAGAGAATCAATACAGTCTGACAAGTATAAGAGTGAAACAGAATGGGTAATGGTAGAAAGGAATATGAAAGATTACAGAGACTGAATACATCTGCGCTGGCCATTGACAACGATTTTGAGCCATGTCACCTATTGTCTCCAGTGCCATTGATTCCTAGAGTCCCGAGGCCCCCAACCCGGAAGTCTGCATCTTCCTACCTGACTCAGTTTAACTGTCAAGGATTTCATGGATTGATGAGGCCATGTTTTTGTTTGGCCACCAGTTACTCTTTTCCAACCTCCACCTATATCAGCTAGTAATGCCCGTCGGGGAGGCGGTGGTTAGGCATGCGCACCACCTAACCTAGCCATCTCAGTCTGTGTAACTTTATAGCCTCGTCGATTGATTTTCCCTCTTTTCCCAACACCCTACGCCTAACGTCAACATTACTTACACCTTATTATACCACCTAACGTGAGAAAGAGATCGCAGACATCTATGATCGAAAGCAGTCAACCTTTTCATGTCTTCAACTCGTATTGGAGATGTTTCAGAGCCATAGAGAAGGATGGAGCGAACTGGTGAGCAGTACATACGTACCTTGGTTGATAACCGGATGTCACTCGAATGTGAATATATATTAATTTACAAGCTACTAGGCAGCTAAGTACATAGGTCGTTCTTACGCTATTTTTCAAAATGTGCCCCGAGAACACTACATGGCGGCATGACTAGAAGGAGTAGGCAAGTTTAAAAAAAACTGATTGACACATATTGACAAATGCTTTACTAGTCTTTTACTACCCTGCTGAGATCTCTCCCCAGCAATCATTCCATTAGAAATGATGAAACTTAACGAATAATAATAATAATAATTTTGCTTTATTCCAGAAACAGTACTAAATGGTACAGTGTGGAATTTTCAACACATATCTACAGTATTGCATCTAATGTTTATCAAACATTTAAAAGGAGTATTTCAAAAAATAAATATAAAAAACAACAACAACAAAAACAAGAAACACAAAAATAACAAAAAAAACGCGAAAAAATACCAAAAAGTAGAAAGGAAAATAAACAACAATAATAAATTATTATTATTATTATTGCTCCCTTGGGTTCCTAGTGGAACATAGGGCTTCAACTGCACGTCTCCATTTTCTTCTGTCTTCTGCTGTACTTTTCGCCTGCATCCATGTTAGTCCATACTGTTCCAACTCCTATTCACACGATCTCCTCCATGTCACCCTTGGACTGACGTCCCACTCGCCGCTTCCCTTTCGGCCTGGTTCCACTCGGGCAATGGCCTGACGTGTGATGTCACCCAGCGGTCTCCTCAGCGAGTGTCCGATCCATCTCCACTTTCTCCTGCATATTTGTTGGGCGATTGGTTCTTGCTTTGTTTGTTCCCATAATTCCTTGTTGGTGATTCTTTCCGGCCATCTGATCTTCAGTATTGAGCGAAGACACTTGTTAATAAAGGTCTGCAGCCTTTTGGAAATATACTTTGTGACCCGCCAAGTTTCTGATCCCTATAGAAGAGCTGACTGACTGTACGTTTTTATTGAAAATCCGAATTTTGTTGGTGATGCTGAGTGACGAAGATTTCCAGATTGATTTCAGCCTGATGAATGTGTTTCTCGCCTGTCTTCCCGATTCTCGCTCGATTTGACATCCTCGTCTGCTCCTCCTGTAGTTGAGACAATGCTCCCTAGATAAGTTAATGAAGTCACCTCTTTCAAATCCCTCCCGTTGATGATGATTGACGCTGGGTGTTGCTACTGTTGTTGGTTGGTTATTTTCATAACCTCCGTCTTCTCTATGTTCACTTGGAGTCTTGTCTCCTCTGGCTGCTTCTTCGATCAGTTTGTCGATTTTCGCTTGTAAGTCATCGATTTTGTGTGACATCAAACATAAATCATCTACGCGCGAAATCCAGGACTTCTAGGTACTTCGCGTCGGTCCAGGATATTCCTGTCTTCTCGTTTCCCTCTCGCTGTCTGATGCATAATCCAGTCCACCACAATTAGGAATATCATTGGTGATAGATAATAAGCACCCTTGTCTGACTCCTGTGTTTACTCCAAACGCCTCGCTGAGTCTTCCGTTGTGGATCACTTGGCAGGTGCCGTTGTCGTACAGCTGTTGAATAAGGTTGATGAATATTTGGGGTACCCCATAGTACTCGAGTAATTTCCAAATTACTTCACGGTCAACGCTGTCTGTCGAAGGCCTTCTCAAAGTCTATAAAGTTGAGGTAGAGGTTTGATCGCCATTCCATGCTTCGTTCGATGATGATGCGTAGAGTTGCAATTTGGTCAGTACATGATTTGCCTTTCCTGAATCCAGCTTGTTCTGGTCGGAGTTCTGTCTCCAGTGCGTCCTTTAATCTCTCCAGGATGATGCGACTCAGGATTTTACTTGGCGTCGATAGGAGCATGATTCCTCGCCAGTTCTTGCAGAGTCCTAAGTCGCCCTTCTTTGGTAGTTTCACGAGGTAACCTTTCTTCCAGTCAGTAGGCACCTTTCCCTCCTTCCAGACCTTTTGCAATAATGGAGTCAGCATGCCTGCTGTAGTCTCTGGGTCCGCTTTCGGTGCTTCAGGGGGTATTCCATCTCGTCCGGCTGTTTTTCCACCTTTCAGAAGTTTGATTGCGTTCAAGACTTCAGCTCTCGTTGGAGGATTGGTGTCAACTTGCAGTTTTGTGCGCGCCGTTGTTGGTATTTCTGGACGGGCTGCAGGTGATGGTCGGTTCAAGAGTCCTTTGAAGTGATCCGCCCATTGTTTAATCTGTTTTTCTTCCTTGGTGATTGGGTTCGCTTGGCTGTTTTTTATAGGTTTCGCTTGTGTTGATCCCTTCCCAGATAGAGACTTGGTTATCTGATACAATGTCCTCCGGTCTCTTTTGCCTGCTGCCTTTTCAGCTTCAGTAGCTAGATAATAAATAATACCTCAGTATTGGAGTAGTGGAAGCTATGATATGTTTAGGCATGGTGAACAATAACAGCTATAATCATACAAGAAGTTATGAAATGAAATTAAGAATGTTTATAGCCAAGATGATCAGTTCATTTGATTGAACAACACTAAGCAATCATAAAATAAACATTTCAGGTTGTGTTTTTTTTATTGTCAGCACTAATGTGGTGTTTGTAGTGGTAGTATGAGTAATCCTGCATAATACAAACGTTTAAGATGGTAATGGTGTGCGTCGGTGGCACAGCGGTTAGGACTCTCGCCGACCATGCACATGGTCCGGGGTTCAAGCCCACGCCGACGTACACCTGATATCTATGGTCGGCCTGCGAAATTTGGGCTATTGATATCCAAAAATACAGTGTGGAATCAAGCTGTAAATCAAAAAAAAAGTAATAGTGGCGTTCACAACCAAGATTATCAATTTAATATTGCCGAACAAAAAAAAACACCCACAAAACTAATATTACATGATGGTTAATGGTTACAGGACAATTTTGTAATACTCATAGTGCTAATATATTTGGAACCAGTAGATACATAAAATAAGGAATGGAATACAGAATAAAAAAGAAAGCCAATGATAATAGTTTTAGGTAGCTAAGTATGTTCAGAAAGGTTGTTCACTATAAAATACAAATAAGAGTATAAGAGAGAAATAAAAGAGCCTAAAATTATGTTATTAACAACAAAGCAAGTCATAGGTTTCACGCTAAACATTGTCTCTGTCTCACTTAGAACACGGGCTAGCCAAATATAGTATCGTTGAGTTCCTATACTTGGTTGTACGAGCACATATTATTTTACACTGATTTCTGATTCTACCTGATGAGATACAAGGAGAGAGAGTTGGGAATAGAGGGGATGTTGGGGATCGGAGAGTATGGTTTTAGACCACTTTTCGCATGTATTTAGATGCCTTTCTACTAATGTAGTGACGAGCTGACTGAGTGGTCAACACGCTTAAATATTCCCTCGCCCGGTATTTAGACTAGAAGTTGGTGCATATCAGTTTTGAGGCATTATCTCATATCTGACAAGAGCCAGTCACATACCAAGCATTCAGGAGTTTTTACTCTAGGTGTCAGCATCTTCGCCTTGAAAGACAATATCATCCGTTTACTCTAATTCGATAAGACTCTTCCCTGAAGACAAGCCAGTCCTTAAGTTGCTAAAGTTAGTTAAGGTTAATTCCATGAGTACATCTGGGATGAAATTTAAATAAAAGTGGGGACAATAGGCAACCCTAACGGAGCCGACTGGTCGTTATCAGTACAGATAGTCAATCTCTGTACGTTGAAAAACAATTTAGATGGCCTATGGTACCAGAGTTTATACATAAATCTATATGTATATATCTTAAAGCTTCAGGAATTCAGAATTTTTTTATTTTATATTCAAATATTTTTCACAGTGTTGCAACCGCTTCTGGTTATTCAGTGGATCCAGCTTCTGGGGCATTATTCATCTCTCCATTCCAAGGATTATCGTATAGAGTAAGTTTCTGCTTAACCATAGATTATTTTGACTGGGCACTATTTAATAAACAGTGTAATGTTATAAAGAAAGAAGACAAGGGCCAGACAACAGATTGTTTATTGAGAAAATCAACACATACTTATAGATTTTTATGTACATTATTATTCGCTATAGATATGATAGAGAAGATTTGTAGCTCAGGTGGGTGATTTTGATGTGGTTGTCTTCTCTGAGCTGGATGGATGGTTAATTTATGAAGCTTTCATCACCCTACTAGGCGACATCTTCAACCCATACTTCAATTCAAAGTGGGCTTTTAGACTTCTCCACGAGTTTGTTAATCATCTCTCCTGGTGGGTGACCTTGGATGTGATTGGTTGTTTTTGTGTGTTTTCACACCTTCTAGGTTACTTGTATTGGAACTGATTGTTTCTTTGAGTTGAACGGCGACGACACATTTTTAATAATCAAAAGAAACGAGTTAGATAAAACTCACAACTTAATAAACAACGTCTTCAACGACATCAAATTCACAAGAGAAGATGAATCCGAGAACAAAATATCATTTCTGGACGTCATAGTCAAGCGAACAACCACAGGGGAATAAGAAACTCAAGTTTACAGAAAATCAATTCACACAGACGAAATCCTGAATTAAAACAGCAACAATTCAGTAACACACAAAAGGAATTACATACAAACACTGTTCAAGAGGGCCAGCCAGGACTCATTGCAACACTCCCATCTTAAGGAAATTTGAAGAAAAATATCTCATGGACGTCTTCCAAAAGAATGGATATCCACGGAATTTCATCAAAAGACATATACTCCCAAGTCAACCTATCAAACCAAAAGCCTCCAAGGAAAGCACAAAGAAAATTGCCCTTCCATATATAAAGGATATCTCAGAAATCACTACAAGACTCTTGAAACCTTTAGGAATCGACGTCGCACACAAACCGACAAAATCACTGTACTCAATTCTATGTCAACCAAAAGACCCAACATCATCTACGAAATAAATTGTAACAACTGCGAAAAACACTACATCGGCCAAAGTGGACAACGTGATCTTAGTCTTGATATCCACGAACATAAGCTAGCCGTCAAAAGACATGACATCCACTCCCTCGCTCATATCACTACATACAGACAACCATGGACATCAATTCGACTGGGATAACCAACATTCAAATATTAGATAAAGGAAACAACAAGAATGCTAGAGAATTTTTAAAAGCCTGCGTGTTATTCCAGTGAATCATCAATCAATAGACACATCGAGATAGGCAAAATTTATCAACCTATAAGAAAGAAACCTCACACACCAAGAGTCAAAGTTCAAGTCAAAGAAACAATCAGTTCCAATACAAGTAACCTAGAAGGTGTAAGAACACACTCACACAAACAACCAATCACGTCCAAGGTCAACGGGAGAGATGATTAATGAACTCGTGGAGAAATCTAAAAGCTGACTTCATCAAATTGAAGTATGGGTTGAAGATGTTGCCTAGTGAGTAGGACAATGAAAGCTTCGCAAATAAACCATTCAGCTCAGAGAACGCAACCACATCAAAATTATTCGTTATTATTAGCAGGGAAACAGCGTCTTCTGATTGGTTGTTTTCTGGCTGAAAGTTATTCTGTCATCTCTTTTTGGCGGTTTCTTTGAAGGTCAGACCATATATCTGCTAATCGTATCCACCCATGCAAAGTTTGTTGTGGTTGGTTGTTGAGTTAGTCTTTGTTCTTGTTCTTTTTTTCTCATGACCAATATTTGGGAGGTAAACATTGACGTAAATTGCTGCCTAACCAAATTTGGCTAGCAGACAGCTCTCATCAATAACGTGTCTAATCCTTTCTTTGGTAAAGACTATATACTCATATCAGTCAAGTTTGCAATGTGGTCACTGTAACACTAGGTGGCTTGCCATCCTTTTTCACCGTGAATTGTTGATATTAGATAGTTGAGGCGATCGGCATGAATCCCTACCTGAACCTATGTTTCGAGCTCTTTATCACTCACTAGTCAGCAAGGCATATCCGCAACCTTGAAGGAACTCATGTCAATTCTGTTTTTTTAAATCCATTTCAGCCAGTAACTCTTTTCTGAATTTTTTTATTCCCTTACATTTTAGTGGAACGTAGGGATTCAAGCTAGAGGCTTGAAGTTTCTGTAGCAGTTGTGTTCACGTTTACGGGATGGGGTTGCTAATCTCATGCCCAACCTTCACTCTTCGCCAGTCTTACTGCTGGCTTAGCGTGGTGAAAGAGTGGGTTGGTGGCCGGAGATCGAACCCCGGACCACATGGGTGGTTGGCGAGCATTCTACTGCTGCGCCACTGATTCGTTGTTTTCTGACTACGGCATATATATACCAATAATTTGAGGTAACGTTATCACCGAAAATACCCATTGAGTCATGACGAAAATAAATGACAAATTCAGCGAATAAAATTTTCTTTATCGACGAATCATCTTCAGGAGCTGTTCAGTCTTATTTATATTTATCAAAATGTACTCAGAAGTGGCTTTAGAAGTAAAAAAATAAAGGCTTTAAATTACGTAGTACTTAACGGCACAAGGTTAAAATCGTTATTGAGTGAGAATAAAGGTAGTTGAGTGTCAATTTAATAAGTGTGAAGAGGGTATGAAAGTGTACAAAACCAACATATGAGAGTAGTAATAGTGAATTAATTATTAAATTAGAAGTAAAATAAAAGTAAAATTGAAAAGACCATGGTAGAATAAGAGGCTGGAGTTGTATTGATGAATGGCCAGCGCCTCCACGATACACAAAAGCCAAAACTTGACGCCGTTTGTTCCATTTGTCCTTACCTTGTAGACGACTGTGGTGGAGTTACGTCGCTTGAGTTCACCAAGTGCTCAAGAACTAAGATAGTAATTGTATTGCATTGTCCTTTTGCTAACCATGCCGGATAATGTTCAGAGATGCGTTTGGAAAGTGTGCGCTTTGTGCAGCCAATATAACTAGCTCCACACGAGCAGGTGAATTTATAAACAGACATTAAAGTGACCTGTCCAAAGCGGTGGTTTATCCTAGACACATTCATTGATCATTTGTCGGCTGTAGGAATTGATACGTAGCTCAGCCATAAAGAAGGCTTTCCCCAGCGATTTGCATTAACCATTTTTTTCAAGATCTCAGCTGTGGTATCACCTTTAAATTCAACACTCATAAATAGCAGTTTATTCGGCACCCTCTAGTTTTATTTCAGGCTTTTCCCTTAATTTCATGCTTTTCTCGATAAATCTTGGAGGATATCCGTTATCTATGATGACTTGTCTGAGTCGCTCCTGTTCCCCTTCGGTTGTATCCCTGGAACATATCCTTCTTATTCTTGAGAACAAGGAGTGGATCAGGTTTCTCTTTCTTCTCAAAAGGACCCAACTATGGCAATTCATGTATTGACCATTCCATGTTGGTTTCTGTAGATCGATCTTTGAAGAGAACTATCAAATCTTCTTTTTTGGAAATACATCCAAAAAATGGAATTTCGAGTTCATGTCTGATTCCGACGTGAATTCGATGACATGATGGCAGCTGTTGAACTCTTTAGCTATCAATTCGATGTCGGGGTATTCTCTTCACATATGATAAAAGTATCATCCATGTATCTTTAGTACAAATGGAAACTAACAATAGTAGGCCGTAACATACTATTCTCCAAACTTACCAAGTCGCCGACGCACACCTGATATCTATGGTCGGCCTGAGAAATTTGGGCTACCGATATCCACGCTGAAAATTCCATACTTGTACCAAAAATACAGTGTGGAATCAAGCTGTAATCAAAAATAAATAAATAAAAAAGTAAAGGACTTAATGGTAACCCCATTTCCACTCCATCTCTTTGTCTATAAAGCATGTTGTTGAATTTGAATTGGACATTTAAAGTACACCCCAATAGTAGTTGTATGTGGCTGATCAGAACCATCAATGTTTATTATGTCTAATTTGAAGTTCTTTAATTATTATGGACACATTGTGACGAGTGAAAATGAGAGACTTTGTAACGGACCTCATATCTGTACATTCTTAGCCACATTATATTTCGTCTAGATTAGAGGAGAATAAATTGTTCTGATTGGTGGGTAACTGACCCAAGGTCAAATAAGTTATCGATTGAGGTTACTTCATGTCCACAATACAAAAATTAAATCCAGATTTGAGGAATAAACACGCCTAACTCTGAAGTTATTGACTTGAAATGTTGATTTCAGCTGCTTTCATCAATCTGCATCATACCAAAATATGACTTTAAAAGCTAATAAGGATGAAGTTGTTCAAAGGAGTATTCTTTGTTCAGTTATTCCCGTCTTTTAAAAGTTTTGATGGGTATTTTTAAGCAGTTAATATTAGTAAAGAGTTTAAGCGCTGTGGAATAGATCAAATAATTTATATTTCAATAGATTTGAAAGAAAAATATACCAACAAAATGAAGGAGGAGTTGCCATGGGATCACCCATGTCACTAATAATAACTGACATAGTTTGATTGGACACTAGTAACTAGGGTGACGTGTCTAGTCCTTTCTTTAGTGAAGACTGAATTCTATCAGTCAGGTTTGTAATGCGGCCACCATTCTAGGTAGTTCGCCATCATGGTTGCACATTGATTTAATGACATAAGTTCGTTGGAGGTAATCGGAGGGAAACCTTGGACCCTGGATTTCATGCTAGTTGGCACTCGTCAAGAAGGCGTATCTGCTACCTTGAAGGAACTCATGTTCCTCCTGAGAATCGAACCCGAGTCACTCAGAATGGTGGTCACGTTGCAAACTTGACTGATAGAGTTCAGTCTGTACTAAAAGAGAGGACTAGACACGGCACACTAGTTACTAGTGTCAAATCAAACTACCCACTAAAGTCATACAGGAGGTCAATCGCTAGCCCAGTGGTAAAGTCTCTGACTGCAGAATGGACATGAATTCCTTTAAGGTTGCAGATACGCCTTGCTGACTGCCTGGTGAGTGCCAACTAGCACGAAACGTAG